AGATGCCTTTTGAATGGCCAAAGAGATTGGACGCACTGATAGTGTTTAGCTATAAAACAGATCCCATTTAATAATTAGATTAAAGCGAATGCATTGTTCACCGAAACTGCTTCTCATATGCATTACAGTTAGAGTACATTAACTATAATACAGAGTTACTATAGATAACATTGATTTGTATGAATTACTCGTGTCTCAGCCAATGTTGTATTCAATATCTCATATTAACCACGCTTTCAGAGAATTTGTAAAAGTTTTCATAAGTCTATATCAGATATTATAATATAATAAAGTTTCATATATTTTAATTATTTTTTGTTTTATATTAAATAAAACATTAATTTTTGTTTTTGCACAAAAAGTTTTTCAATGTAAATAAATATAGAGAATAAGCAAATAAGACTCTCTCTCTCTCTCTCTCTCTCTCTCTCTCTCTCATTTATGGTATGAGTTTCTGATGAGTTTATACAACAATACTCTTATACTTATTATGACATTCAAAAGATTACATACTTTTGATTATTTGTTTTGTTTCTTCTCATTCGACAAACATTTCCTAATTTTATTCGTTTGGTCTCAAAATGAGTGAATCCAGTAATGCATTCAAATTACTGTTCCTTCACTCATGGGCTCCCTTACTGTGTCATTGAAGTGATTTATTTTAATTTGGAAACAAATTGTTATAGTATTACAAATTGAATATTATTTTATTAGGGTGAAAATTATGCTATTAAAATATTATGTTATTTTCTGAATTACCATAAAATACAATATTAGACGTATATTGTATGGTATGAATATTTGTATTGAGATCTCGAATGGTCTAATAAAATAAATTTTCATTTTGAATTCTAGTTAAATATGAATGAATGCCACTAAATATAAGGATGCACTGCAGTAAAACGTCACATAAAAGTAGCATGCTGAGTGCAAGTGATTATCACACATTTTCAATATTATAAAAACTGCTATAAAAACAATTATATCTGAATATCTTTACGTTTCAGTCGTTGCACCCATACATGTATATAAGTCTTATATTATAAGATTCAAATATAATATGTTTTTATTTATTTATTGGAAAAATTTGTGCTAAAATAATAAATTCATAAATGATTTGGGAATATTCGAACATAATTCATACAAATTAGTATTTTGTAAAAGAATCAGAGAATTGCAATTTATATGCATTATTAATCACTGAAACTACAGTATATCCGGATATAATTGCACCCCTTTTGCGAAAGATTTTTTATTTATCAGAATTTCAAATAATTATTGACAATTTATTTATGCATAAGAATTGAAAACTTTTCACACATTTAATTGATTTAATTTATTTGCTTAATATAAATCTATATACAGTATATATATTGCACGGTTACATATATTGTATAATATAATACTCACTATTTATAAATAATGATAATAATTATATCAATCAATTAAAGTGTTTAAAGGTATTTATAGGGCAATTGTATTGAAAAATTATATTTATAGCAAGACATTAGATTTAATGTAATATAATAACTGTTTACGAGTAATACGATTTGGTGGGCGAGAAATAAATCAATTTATTGAGTGTCGTGTTGTTTGAGCTCAAGCTGTTCAACCCATACGGCTTGAGGCCATCCCGTCCTCACTTTACATTTGGTCTTTCCATTTGTCTTGTATTGTATACTATTGGGTGAATTGCAGGGCAATGAAGCGCCTATTTTGACCATTTCCTGAGACAATCAAAACAAATCATTCACAATAATGTCTTCAATCACTCAACACTTCATTCACTCTTATAATCAAATATAAATATAGAGAAACTTATTTGTCATTTCAGTCATTTTCTATCACTTTGTGACAAAGATGGCCAGTGGGCTACAGATTATAGCTATTTTAACCCAGATCATTTAAGCGCTTTAATAAAATTAAGGAATTTAATTACGGAAATTATGTACTCTTTTTATAAATAATAAAGTATAATATAATTTTTTATATCTAATTGTAAGTAATTGCATATACAATTAAATAAAAGTTAAATCATATTTGCTATGTCTGTCAACTGAATCGTTAGCATTGAAATCAATTAATAAATGACTCGTTTTACTCTAATTCTCTATAACTTTATTCTATTAAACAACTAAACAAATGTTAGAATTGTTTCCTGCCTTAAGAATTAACATTAAGATTATAATAAATTATATATTTTGGTCAGACTTTATAAACAAAATACAGTTTAGTTTCATAGGATGTAAACACATCTAAACTGAATTTGAGACTAATTTGTTTGTTGTGTAAACTGTATATTGAGATACATTTCAAACTCCGAGACATATAAAGTAGAAGTGAAGGAAAAACACTTTTGAGATCAAATTTTTGATTATTCGGTGGTTTTCTTTTTGAAAAATTATATGCAGTCATTCAAAACACTGTCTTAAGTGCATAAGAAATTCCTGTGAAACTTAAGTCTATAGTTTTTAGTAGTGTTAATGTTTTTCGGATTATATGTATATCTATAACCGTTATATTGAATTGAATTTTACGATCGTTTCGAAAGATACATGTAGTGAGGAGTTTGAAACACATATATATTCTTACTATTGGTTTCAGTTTTGGTCTCCAATTACACTCATTTTACGGGCAATAAAACAGTTCAATGAACACAAACATATTAGTGAAGACCCTTTTTGGGACTTTCTCTTCACTTAAGTTCTATATATCTATCCATAAGTCTTGCAAAATAAGAGATACTTTTTTCTGACAGAGAGATATGTCTTAACTTTGCACTAAACGCTTATTCACTTCTTTATCTTATTCTTGCATTTCATATCATTTGATGTATTTTTACTTATAATCAAACTCTAAATGTTTATTAAATATTGATTGACAAAATCGATCTTAAAATATATCATCTATTCATTCAATTTTGAACCTATATTTCAATGTATGGCTCAATTCATTGCATTACAAGTATTTTTAAATTGGTCTCCAATTCTTAAATATAAGCAAAAGATAATTAAAATTGAAATATAAAAGAAAGAAAGTATAGAACATAAGGAATATAATGCAAACCTTAAAGCTATCCCTACTGTTCCTCTTGTGAGTGGAGGGAAGGTCTGCCCGAAAGCCTTCTTTCATAAGCTTGAGTCGGGTATCGTTTGGTCCGTCGAGAAGTGCCGTTAAGTACGTGATATAACTCGTCGCTAAACGCAATGTTTTAATTTTGGAGAGTTTAGTGTCTGCGGGAACGTTGGGAATACAGTCCCGCAGATTAGCGAACGCACTGTTTATAGACTGAGTCCTTCGTCTCTCCTTCTTGTTGGCCGTCACTCTCCGCTTCACAACTCTGACCACTCCTGTCGTCCGGTTTGTGATATATTTGGTCACCATTTCCACGCATTCACCGCCCGTTTGGTTGTTGTTGGGATCGGACAGCGGCTCTATCTTTGGCTCTTCGGCGGCGAAGTAGTGATTATCGCAATCGACTTCTGGTCCGTAAGCGTTGAACTGTTTGACCGGACTTATAGGCGGAGAGGAATATTCTTGGATCCAGTTTTGCTTCGGATAATAACCCGTCTGTCCATACATTTGAACGGATGGCGAGCTGTCATATCTGGTCCGATAGGTGTGGAAGCGATGATTTGACTGTTCGTAATGAGGAAATGGCGCCGAAGAAGAGGCAAAACTTAAATCCATTCTTAAGATGTTTTAAGTATTAGAGTAAATATGGATTAAGAGTTGTCACATCACGGGATCAAAATCAAGTGAAACATATCTACTGGTCTTAAGTATAGCCAAGACTTATCAGTGATTATCTACTGGAGTTTGGGAGCCAATTGAAAGGCGTGTATACATGTGTGTCAGTGGCTGTCAATTGGCCCAAACAGAGGCAATGGGAGGACACATCTCCTCCTAGAAGTGAAGCATCGCTTCGCACACAATAGATAAGGCTTTGGGAGTACAGAGAGAATACAGAGAGAAGTGAGGGCTTAATAATAATGATTGATTAGGATTAGAGTGAATAATGAGAATATATAACACAATTACATCAGAAGTCATATTATTATTATAGTGAAGACCGCCATATGTGAGCAAATATGAGATTATTTGTATAATTAAATAATGTATTAAATGGTTAGGCATACCAGTGGTAGCAATGATACCAATATTAACATAACATGTGCCCCCAATAATGGATACTTATATTACATATAATCAAATAATAAATTTATCCATTATATTGCAGGCATACAAATATTTATGAATTAAATAATACTAAAGTTTGCCTCGAAAAACAATTTGTAACCAAATATTTACCATTTTATTCAATTAACAAATATTTCTCCTAATAGTCAGTATCACAGATATTCTGTGAAAGTCTTTGCTATAATTACATTATTATGTTATCATTTATTTTATTTTATTATAAAACTAAAGTTTTGTAAAATAGTGTAATAAACGCTTTTCACAGATTTATCTTAAAATGGTCAGATTTTTCTGATAATTGTAAATCATGTAAAACTTTTTCATTTAATAATTAGCTATAATTTATTTACAATCGATTAGTTAATATTTTGCAAGCTTATTAACAATTAACTAATATTTATATTAATATCACATCTTAAAAATAAATATCAATTTTATTCATTAAGCTCATATGACTTTTAAAATAGTTTTTACATTGATTTTAACTAAATATTGTAAATGTATAGAATACATAAGTTGTTAATTTAAAAACCATGTTATAACAGAACACAAGTCCGTTTGAAAACATTCAAATGAGAATCAATCTTACAAGTTAGATCCTATGTTATTAGTAATAACTTATTACATGTACTAATACAACCCTATGAGTGATGCTAACATTTTTACCTTCAAATCTTGTTTATATTAAAATTAATTATCATGTTCAGATTCACGCTTTTATAATGAAAGAACTCATTATTAGAGAATATAATTTTTAGAAAGTAAATGATATAAAATAGAAACAAAAAAATATTGATTTCTGATACAGACATTAAATGATAAAATACTCAATAATTAAATATAATTCTTTAGACAAATTAATTTTGAAATTTTAATCTTATCTGTTATTAAAAATGTCAAACAAGTGTCTATAATAACACTATTATAACAGTAAATTCATTGTTGTTTATTATAGAAAAAAATGTTTTAATTTAATAAATATAAGAAATTGATTAAAAGACTACTTAAAAGCATCAAAATGTTCCAATTTGTATGCATTAATGTTTAATTAATTCATTCTCTGTACTCATACTTTTGAACACCCTGGCAAATATTCACCCATTCATTGACTCAATCATTGTATAGCCTATTGTTGTTAATAATCGCTTTTTAGCTTCAATTCACAAACATGTATATATGTTGGAGAATTACATTCAAAAAATATTGTTATAATAAAAATAAAACCATAATTTTAAAAAATCATAGAATATATGATTGAGTTATTCAACAGAAGTACAATAGTATAATAGATAGTAATTAAGTAGCAGTATTGTAGGATCAGTTGCACTGTAATCATATGATTGAATAGTGGAAGGACAGGGCGTTTATCATGAGATCATAACTCGGATGCAAACCTATTTGGTTCACATTAAGAATAGGCTAACAAGTAAGTAAAAATGGACCAAAACTCCCACACAATCATAGTATATAAAGTTAAACACATTATTATGCTTTGTTCGCTGGTTTAATGGTAGCCCTAAATCTTGATACTCTTTGCGTAATCATTACGATTATAATGGTTTAACTTCTTTAGACTCCTGTTTGAAGATTACAATCGCCAGCAAAATATTGCCAATTTTAAATGTCAACAAAAATAAGTACATTTTTATTTTTTGCAAAACCTACTCCACGGCTACTATTCATAAACACAACAACTTATACTTAATATTCAATCTTATATTACAAAAGCTATAGACAAGAAGGGAAATGTAATTCTGGATTTATCCATGATTATAGTGTTATTGTATTTCAACCTAGACTACAATTTACAACTCTTTTTTCTAAGTCAATAACGATATGTTTAGTGACTTTTCTCCCCATTTTTTGCTCAAATAAAATCAATGATTATTGTTATTATGATTCCTATGCTTTCAATTGCTTTCAATATTTATTTTAAAATTTTATAATCACATCTATAGTCACCACAACTTAATACACAGTTTATATGCTTTTCATTCAAATAAAGATATGTTTCAATCAAGTGATAAAATAATAATAATTTATTTTTTATCATAGTCAAAAACTCACGAATTTATTTATTTTTGTGTTTGAAATATTTATATAACTTTATTTTTCAAATTATTATATATTTCCCTATTTTCACATTTGATTCCACATTATAAATGAAATGAAATAATATTTCAATTGTTAACCACAACTTATGATAGATTTTCACTTAACAATTGCCATATAATACTGTATGACAAAAACCATGAAATATTTAGTTTTACACAATTTAAAATAATTAAACTTATTTTCAAATTAAAACTTTTATAATTGTTATATAAGAAAAATTATCTAATCATAACAAAACAGCGAATAATAATAATAATTTTGATAATGATTTGTGCAAAAGTTTGTTTAACATTAGTGTAATACAAACCGTCTAATCATCACAATTAATGCATTATATTTGCATTTTTATAGTATAAACAAATGGCACTAAATATAATTAAATGTTATCAAAGCTGACAACAAATGTTTACTTTCAATATACAAATCCTCCGACGAATTGTAATAATTATTTACTAGTAATTTAAACATAATTATAGAGATTAGAGAAAAATCGCAAATCAGTAAAATATAAATAACAAACTTTTGTGGAAAGTATAAGAAAAATATGTTTATTCACAGAAATTTATCGTTTATTGTTTTTAGTTAAACAAAAATATTTACTTGGCTTAAAGTTAATACATATAGAGCTTACAATGTTTAGTCAATTATTAAAATATGTAAAATTAATTAATCATGTCTAAATCAAAAATAATTGCGTTTTCAAAAGAGGGGATAAGCTTTAAATCAACAGCCAATTGACCGGTTGGTGACCCACCAGAGAGTGTGCAACACATGCCTATGCGAAGTGTCTATCAACGGACTCATCAAATTAATAACTGGACATAATTTTGTCAGAAATAAGTTAAGCAAATGATTGGTGAAAGCGAGCACTTGGAGGGATCGGATGACATCTCCATCTCAACCATTAAGGAGGCGCCGAAGCGGCAAAAACCCTGTGCCATACGATACCAAAGTTAACGTTTATGTTTATGAGTTTCATATAATGTACGAAATTGTCTACAAAAGAGACAAATGAATGTCCAAAACATAAATGCATTGAAAGCAGCATTTTTTAAATGAACAAAACTAATGTATTTGTTATAGTTATAGGAGTAAAGTATTGATTTCAACAGCTATTTAGGTTCTTGTGATAAATGTATCATTGAATTGGATGTGAGATTCAGGAATGGGATGAGACGGAGAGTGGAGTTCAAGGAACTGACCTTTTTTGCGAGGGATTTGTTTGTTCTATGGGTTAAACTGACAAAAATTATAACTACTTTTGAGTTTTGTTGAGTTGTTTAGTCTAAAAGAGTGTTCAGAAGAAAAAGAGTCTATTTTTCTGAACCAAAGGCAAAGAGTGACAACTTTTGTGTTACAGTTGTGGCACAGGAGTAGAGATAGAGTGAGTGTTAGACAGTTCTGCACAGCATGTGATGCCGAGGGGCAGTCACTTCAGTCACTTCGCGATTAATACACTGTTGATAGAGAAGACCGGATGATAGGGACAGAGGGGTTATATGAGACAAGTTTTTGCTCGTATTGTTTACAAAATGTGTTTCTTTGAATGCTTTGAATCGTAAAATTTTTTAGCTGCGGTTAAGGCCTGAGACAAGTCTGATATGAGGTCTTCAGTGGATTCGATGCCAACAGACAGTCTGACGAGTGTGTCGTCGATGCCTAACATTTCGCGCATCTCTTTAGGCAACGATAAGTGAGTCATAAGCGCTGGTATTTCCACCAGACTTTCCACTGATCCCAAACTCTCAGCCAAAATAAATAGTTTGAGATTTTTGAGAAACACATTAGCGGTCTCTCCGTCGCCCTCTATATATACCGAAACCATTCCACTAAAGCCAGAGCACTGGCGGATCGCCAGCTCGTGCTGGGGATGACTCTCCAGCCCCGGGTGTATCACTTTGCGCACCATTGGGTGAGACTCCAGAAATCTGGCCACAGCTAAGCCATTCTTCTGGTGCTGTTCCATACGCACGGCCAGTGTCTTAAGCCCCCGGTTCACCAGAAAGCAATCGAATGGCGAGGGAACCGCTCCCAGAGCTAAAGATATGGTAAAAATTTTGCCATTAGTTTATAATGATTTTTTTGTAATAAATGCTTTGATGCTAACAGTTCTGGAGGAATACAAGTTTTTCGTGGATGTCCTTTGAATTGGTGGCGATCGCACCCATCACTACATCCGCGTGACCTGAATGGCAGCAAATAAAATAAATTATAATAGTCTTTATATTTCTTAAATATAGATCGAAAATACCGTTCATATATTTAGTTAAAGAATGCATAACAATGTCTGCTCCCAAAGCTAAGGGCTTTTGAAAGTAAGAACTCATGAAAGTGTTGTCGACCACAAGTATGGCCTGCGGGGCCTCAGTCTTGATCACATGCGCCACAGCTTTGATATCAACTAATTTCATGGTAGGATTGGTTGGCGTTTCCATCCAAACAAGTTTGGTGTTTGTCTTCAACACTTTGGAGACATTGATTGGATCTCTTGCGTCGACATAACTTATTTCGAGACCAAATTTGGAAGCAATGGTACGGAAGTACCGATTGGTTCCGCCGTAGAGGTCGTCAAAGCATACGATATGGTCGCCGGAGTTCAACATATTTGTTATGTTAACCTGTGCTGACAAACCCGATGAATAGCACAGACCTGTTTATGTAATTAATACAGTAAATACATTAATCAATTATTTATAATAAATTGTTAAATTAACTGACCATATTGTGCTCCTTCTAGAGAAGCAATCGCCTCTTCCAGACATCTTCGGGTAGGATTACCACTCCGTCCGTATTCAAAACCCTATACAACGATTATAAGAATTAGACGTTTATTATTTTTTTGTCTTAAATTCTAGATAAAAAAATAATTAATTGCAAAATTGATAGAATAATCAAAAATTGAATAAATTTACACTAAAAAGTTAAGTCTGTATTTATTGGATATGTTTTAAATCTTTATAGATGTTTGTCCTTCAATTGATTAGTTCACCCTTTAGGAGACAACTTATAATCAATTCATAATTAATGAGTTTTATTGATCACAATATTATATCAAATATTCAATTAGTGATTAACATTCGTTTCATGGATAGTCTTCATTAATTTTATCCCAAATTTCAAGGACTTGATTGTATCAAGAATTTTAATTTTGAGACAAAGTATAGAATTTAAAATATAATTAATATTTCTTTAATAATTTTGAGATTATAATCAATGCGTTTATAACTATTTAAACCCAAAAATATTGACTTTTATATTTCGAAGAAATTGTCAATTGTTTACTATTCAGGATGTGTTATATAATTCCGGTTGAGTTTAATGTTTACTGGATTTCAATCAAAATAATTCAAATAAACGTTCATTAAATGCCTAATCATTTGACAGATGTTTTCTAATTACTAACATCTGATGTGCGAACAAATGTCTGCGATATTTGTCAAAATTCGTATTTACTTACGTTTAAAGCGATTTTAACGCAAGAATTTAAATATTTATTTAAATAATCAGAAAATCATAAGAATTAATTGAAAACAATAAGTACTTACGGCATGATTGCCGGGAGAGTATTGTTCAAAAGTGGTGGCCATAGAGATGGGTGGGACGACTGCGCGGGAATTCCATTGCGAGGAGTCCTGTCCCGCGTGTATGGCTCGGGTGGCAAAGTTGCCACTCTTTTTGGCCAACAGTTTGGCCGCGATGTGACCATTGGTCTCGTTGTGGCCATTGGTTCCGTTGTGACCATTGGTTCCGTTGTGGCCATTGGTTCCGTTGTGACCATTGGTTCCGTTGTGGCCATTGGTTCCGTTAGAAACGCCGTTGCCGTTAGTGGTTGTGATTGAAGACATTTTACAAATATAGCAGTAAAACAATATATATTTAAATATAACACAAGTTATAAAATTAAAAATAGCTTTTGAACACGAATTGAATGAGACGTTTGCGCATCGATGGCAACAAAACTAATGAGGGATTGAGTGCTGTTTTAGTTCACATTTAAATAGAGACCGAAAACTATCAAATGATAGACTGACGTCAAATGTATTATAAAAATAATTGTTTTTTTATTCTTTCAATTTTATCGTGACTTTCGGAGAAGAAAATTATTGATAATTTATTGATAAATCATTTCTCAGTCGTATTCTCTATGCACTAACACTCTCTCCGCACTCTTTATGCCTTAAAGCGGATTCAAAATTCTTGTCATATTTTTAGCCAATCATTGAATAATTAATCCATATCTCAGACTTGTAATCATTATTTTTGTTAAACTGATAGATATCTAAAACTTGATTTACAAAATATTATAAAATGGTTTGCAATTACAGACAAATTAGCGGCAGTGAAAACTGAGAGTCACATGATATCCGATTTGACTGTATATCAAGAATTCATATCAATTATCACTTAAACACATGAATAGCAGGAATAGAAGGCAAGGAATAGCACTGAAAATGCACTAATATTAAGGACAATTTCGTAAGAACAGTGTATATGCAATACTCCATTTGATCATCATTTAAATTTTAATGTATTTTAAATGTTTGATAAAATTTAAAAGTCATGCAAATGCCATGAAATGTCATGAAATAGCGCCACTTTTAGTCACTTGATTGGTGTTTGTGAGGACTTGTAAAGCAAACCAATTAACTGATAATAAACCATAATCTGAGTGATTAGAGTGTGTCTAAAAGGCACAAACAAATATTGACATTACATTCACTGGTAAATTATTTGGTAAATAAATGCTTATCTGAACTCAATTTAAATCGATTGTAGGCATAAAACAATAATATCTACAGTATTATAACAAAAATATAAACATGATAAAAAATACACGGATTATAATTAATGCATTGTCACAATTACATCAGGCTTGTGATCTAAAGTCAATGTACATATTAAAAAATATAATGACATTTCTATTTTCCTATATTATGATTAACGTTACTTTAATCATATTTTTGTATTTTAAGTCTTTGAAAACAATTTTGCTTATATTGATTAAATAAAACATAAATGTCCTTGCTTTATTCAAACATGTTAAACATAAACTTATAAACCTTTAAAATATAACATAATATTTGCATCATTAGAAAGTGTAAATAATATTTATAACAGAATTATATTTTTTTATTATATTTATATATAATTTATAAGAGTTATGAATTAGTTGTTAACTAACACTAAATCATTGAAAAGGATGCTTAACGACAAACACTAAATTTGGTAAATGGTAACTATGATTGGCAATCGTTGATTGCAATAGTCATGAGATATGAAGACATACAGATGGCCAGGAATGGGAAAGGGATTCACTTTAAATACATTTCAATTTAAAGTGATAAATCATTTATTAATACAATCAATTATTTCTAATTAATTAAATAATCATTATTTCCAATTTTTACATTTGTCGTCACTATTGTATAACAATATCAATTTTATAACATTTTAATATAATTTATTGTAGTTTAAAACACGTGTGCATGAAAATCAACTTATGTTGTATGTATTGACGTGTATAAGAATCAATAAATGCAATTCAATCAAATGCTGTAATATCCTGCACACAGTAAACAACACTGAATTACATGTAAAGTATAGCGCATTAATAAGTTATCACTTTTAGTTGTGATACATTTTAAACTATTTTGATTACAAGCTTTGGATAAAAATTGTGTGACAGGATTGGAGACATGATAATTGATAGTCTGTTTTGTAATTATGCTAATATTTCATAACCATAACATGTATTTCTTAATTATTGTATCTAAGGCTTAGCATATTGTTAGGCAATCATTTCATTTGATAGAACACATACTTCACAGACAAACTTCTACTCAATAAACACTAATCAAGTATTTAATACAACAATTCATTTATTAATAATAAATTATTATACAAAATATAAGCAACTTTTTAAAAATCAAAACTAAAACTTAAATAATTTAATGTATTTAATAAAAAATAATTTCTTAACTTTAAAATTATTTTTTAGAACTTTTCAAATATTTCAATAATTTTGTGTCCATTTCTGATGAAGAGGTGGAAGAAGTGGATGCCTTTCGGTGCCGCTTATGCTTGTGATTGGATTTGTGTTTTTTATGTTTCTTATGCTTTTTATCGCTCTTTTTTCGTTTTATTGATTTTTCTGTCAAATGATTTGTATTCAAAACTGAATGAATATTATCTGAAATTAAAAGACTAGAATCTGGCGGAAGTGCCGGTCCGTAGACATCATTCACATCACTCTCTATTGATTTAACGTTACTTTTTTCTACACTTTTCTCTGCATTTTTCACTACACTTTTATTTTTCTCCAATTCTTGCGTTTCGTTAGGTTTTAAAATAGGATTAAAATTTCTGTTCAATTGATCAAAATCTATGTCCGCAAAGATTCCACTTGTTTTGATTGAATTCATTTGTGAACTATTTATTACTTCTGCGGGTTTTTCGCTATTTTTATCCACATTTTGTTCATTTGTAACATTCGACTCATTAGTGTCTGCAATGTCTTCGTCGTCACTCTCTTCGTCCGAAGCAAATATAGCTTTGAATAAATCCATCGGTGGTCTCACCTTCTCTTCAGTTTCCTCCTCTTTATCATTGTTTTCATTAGTATTAATACTATTTTTAACATTTTTCGACTCCGAAGTGTTTTCTTCGTCTAAATTATCAGATTGTTTGGACACAATTGTGTCGTCCATTAAACAGTCAAATATATTAGTTTTAGTCTTTCGGTCATTTATTTTGGCCGTTCTATTCCTCACATCGGATTTGCCGACAGTTATAACGCCGACCACATCTGGATATTGCGGGAAAGGATTGGGAATATTAAAGCGTTTGCACAACAGGTTGTGTGGATGCCATTCAAACGTTGTCCTCACTGTTGCGCTGCTTTTCTCAGTTGTCTCATTGTCGACAGTCTTCTGGCGTTTAGTCTCATTGAAATCAGTCAGACCTCCCGATAGTGTCTCTTCGACGGTATCGTTACTTCTGGTGAATTTATTCGCCCAAAAGCCAGTCAACGGTTGGAATACTATTGGCTCTCTTTTAATGGCCGTCAACGGCGCTGTGTTTTGAACCGAATCTACTTGTCTTGAATTGATTGAATCGCTTTCTTCGGGCATTGGATCCATTCTTTTCACTCCCTGTCTGTGAATCACTTCTTCGNACGTCAATACATACAACATAAGTTGATTTTCATGCACACGTGTTTTAAACTACAATAAATTATATTAAAATGTTATAAAATTGATATTGTTATACAATAGTGACGACAAATGTAAAAATTGGAAATATTGATTATTTAATTAATTAGAAATAATTGATTGTATTAATAAATGATTTATCACTTTAAATTGAAATGTATTTAAAGTGAATCCCTTTCCCATTCCTGGCCATATCTCATATTCATATCTCATGACTATTGCAATCAACGATTGCCAATTATAGTTACCATTTACCAAATTTGGTGTTTGTCGTTAAGCATCCTTTTCAATGATTTAGTGTTGGTTATCAACTAATTCATAACTCTTGTAAATTATATATAAATATAATAGAAAAATATAATTCTGTTATAAATATTATTTACACTTTCTAATGATGCAAATATTATGTTATATTTTAAAGGTTTATAAGTTTATGTTCAACATGTTTGAATAAAGCAAGGACATTTATGTTTTATTCAATCAATATAAGCAAAATTGTTTTCAAAGATTTAAAATACAAAAATATGATTAAAGTAACGTTAATCATAATTTAGAAAAATAGAAATGTCATTATATTTTTTAATATGTACATTGACTTTAGATCACAAGCCTGATGTAATTGTGACAATGCATTAATTATAATCCGTGTATTTTTTATCATGTTTATATTTTTGTTATAATA